TGGGTGTGTTTCGGAAAATAAAGAAAATTAATTAAAATAAATTAATTAAATAAAATGACTAGAGAAAAACAAGAAAGGAGATGAAGCAGAATTAGCCAAAGCTCGTGCTACGCACGATTTCCTTAAAACGTATTTGTTGCCTCCCACGGTGCTAGGAGCGTTGCAACAATCGTTTCCCAGGATACGATGACTACGAACTAATGTTTGAGCACACAAACAAGAGTTCCAGCGAACGAGAACCAAGAATGAACACTGAAGGAATTTTGGGAGTAGCTGGAAGAGTTTTTAGCTCAAGAAAACGTGAGGAAAGTGTTGTGCGTTGTCAAACCGTGTGTTTGTTGCAAAGCACCTGCCAGCTATTTATAGGAGGATTTGTTGTGTGTTAAATGGGGTGTTAATGGACCTGAACGTTGGACATCAATGACCAGTCCGTTGGGCATTGAATCGTCCATAAACTGTCCATTTAACGCAGCATGAAAAGAGAAGAACGTTGGGCATTAATTGTTGTAACGGAAGAAGTGCGCGACAAAAGACCCCAACAGAACACCCCTTGGAGGGTTTCTGTCCGAAGCCAGCAGAACCCCCTTGGAGGGTTTCTGTCCGAAGCCAACAGATCCCCCTTGGAGGGTGCTTTGCATTCGTGTCCGAAGAACGAATCTCTTGAGAGAAGAACGTTGGGCATTAACCGTATCTCTTGAGAGATAGATTTTTGGACGGCATTCGTGTCCGCAGGTCGCCCGTGCACACGAATCACGGTTTTTCTTCTCCGTTTCGAGATTTGATCGGCATCCCCCCTGCGCGTAAGAGAGAGCCTTTCCCTTTAGGAATCTTAACTCCTTAAAAGAGGCTTCCCTTTATAAGGGGGTGAAAATCCCTTGATTTTTTCGGTGTGGGATAAAACACACTAGAAACTCATCATTTTCCCAGTTTTTCCATTTCAACGAGTGAACTTCAAAAATCAATTTCTCATTCACCTGTTATCCGTTTTGAGCGTACCATATATCGAATTGTAACCCTTAACAAGGACAATCCGAAACCACTTTGACCCGACCCAAATCGGAAGTGGACCCCACTCAAATAATTACCCCAAAATGACCATTTAATGCAATTTTTAACACATTTTTCCAACAGCCAAACTGTTTGTCGACTTATAAGTCGCCCAATCGTTGGGCGACTTACCCCGACCATGGTTAACCGAGCAGTATATTGGTAAATACTATTAACCCAACCCTATTTTCGTAATTAATTCATTAATTAACAGTAATACGGGAAAAAAACTCGTTTGGAAGCTAAGCTGTAATTCACTACACCTTTGAATTTGAGAAAAAGTGTATTCTCTTGAATATGATTTTTTAAAATGTAGAATAAAGTAAGAATGATTTATAGCCACGCAAACTTTACCAAAATTAGTATGAGACAATCTTAGTGGGACGGATCGAAAAAGTAAAATAGGACGATCTTAGCATGATAGAGAGAGTAACAAAATAGTGGAAGAACACTTTGGATACATACTCTTTGGGCGGCCAAATCATGTAAAAATATAATTGTGTATACAGAGTAATAAATACAGAAATTACCGAGCATGTGGCGTGCTCTTTACTGAGCACGTGCTCTTTACTGAGCACGTAACGTATCTAGAAATACAGCTCATGCTAAGATAATATGAAGTACTTCATAGTTCATACTCCGTATATAATTCAATTATTATTACTATTAAGTTAAAATATAGGGAGTATGTATCACAAAAAATTGCGGAAAATGCCAAATAAGCCATCGAGTTAACTTAAAAAGTGTAAATCACTCCTTATATATAGGAGACTCTGTCTGGTCATCGCCATTTGGGGCGGTTCCCGGTGGAAAATTTTGATCAAATTTTTTGAACATCTTCTTCATTAAGTCTAGTTTACTCATACCAAATTTCAGCTAAAAATTCAATAGGAAAAGCAGTCAAATGAATTTATAACTGCGCAGTCAAACAACGCAGTACATTACAGAAAATGTATTGTAGTTTTTAATTAGAAGATGTGCTCTTCAAGTTTCATTTCATATAGATATTTCAGAAGTAAAACTTCCCATTATATGCGTGTTACATATTCATGAAATGAGAAAGGATATCAAAGCTCGATGCCACGTTTGAGTGACAACATAAATGATACTTCGTATAAATGATATGTATATATTTAGAAAAATAAACACTTATATCATTATCACCATCAGGAGCGGAGTCAGGATAACAAAGAAGGCTGGGTCAGATTCCAACTAAATTTCAAGACAAAATTTTTAAGTAATAAATATAGTAATCAAATTAATTAAAGTCTATTACAAAAGTTGTTACTCCAAAAACCATAATACATTATGATTACAAAATTAATTGGAACCATAATACTTATGTCATTATCATCACCAGGGGCAGAGCCAGGACAATAAAGAAGGTGATCCTTTACTTTAGCAAACTCATCGATGGTATCTATTGTGCTAACAAGTTCTTTTTCAATAAAAATGGTCAAATTATCATCGAGAAATTCATCAGCCATCTTGTTTCGAATTGCATTCTTCACATCAATTTATAATTAATGTAAATACACTCCAAAATCACAATACACTCAAGATATAATCTTGCATCAAAATATACTAAAAACTGAATATATAAATCATGAGTTAGGGTTAAAAAATTCACCTTAATTTCAGTTGTTCACTAGGTCAGTTCGCAGTTGACACTTCGAGGAGTTGGAGCGGCAATCAGCCTAGTTGGCCTCTCCTCCGGGCTCCTCCATGTCCGCAACAGTCAAGACAACTCTTCGCCGCAAAGCCACTTGACCCGCTTCGTTGCTCTCCCTGTTTTCAATTTTTCAGATTTTTCTATTATTCCTGGTTCCTGCTTTGTAACCTTCGTTTGCACCAATTGCACGCATAAGTGTTGAGTGCACTTGTTGCACGACTGGGCTTCTTGACTTGTTGGGTAATAGGCTGGGTCAAGTTTGATTTTACACTGGGCTAGTTCTAATTTTTTTTAATACTATACCTAGTATTAGGTAGCCTAACCCTGGGCCAGAGCCCAGTATAGCCCCCACCTCCGCCACTGATCATCATCATCGTCATCATCATATTAAAAACAAAAGTATACATACTACGTATAAGCTATAAAAAATGGTATTGCCTCTATTATGAAAATACACCTCAAAATAATGCATGTGCATCACACGGGTACTATTCTAGTTTTGTAAAATATTACTAAAAACAAATGGATATATCAAGGAAACATTATATGAACACTTTTATAAAAACACTTTTATAGTATGAACAGTGCCGGATCTCGTTTCGAATTGGATCGGACTTCCAGACCAAGTTCACCCCTGAGTAAGTCAGAATTGCTCTATACAATTATATGCATGAGCGAGGTCAATAAAAATATACTCCTTACTTCATATAAAACATATGGAGACATACCACGTACTACGTATAAGCTATGTCAGACTCAAAATTATTATACATAGTACTAGTTATACTAGGACTAAAGCCTACTAAAAGCCCGCGGTTTAATAAATTGAAATCCTTCGAATTTGTTAAAATTAATGAAATTTTAACTTAAGCAGTTGAACTGGTTAAATTTGTTGAATGACAAGAAAATTGTTTAATTTTATTTTATTATCCTCTAATTATTTTTAATAGACAGAAAAACATTTTCAATCTTAATTATTCTGATGATTACACCATTCAAGGATAAGCAAAAATTGTGTGTCTTGTAAAAAATCAATTTATATATATAAAAGAGGAACTTTTAAGAGCATACAAAGCGCCACATAATCTTGCCATGTCATTATATATAACAATTATTTACTTATTTTTATACCTTTTGTTTTTATTAGATTCTATTTTTGATTGCATATTGATATCGAAACAAAAATCCTTATAAATCCACCTTAATTAATTTGGTAAGCTTCAAATAAGTAAAATCATTTTTGGTTATCAAAGTGAAATTCTTATAACGTTTATTGATATGGAAACTAATTTATATTAGTTTACTACACCGAATTGAATAGAAACAAATATGCAAATTAGTTTACTTATTAATTTGACACCTATTAATAAATTAGTAAGCTTCAAATAAGTAAATAACTAAAAATGAAATTAAAAATTATAACCAACATAAAGTATATATATTTTCACAAGTAAATATGTTTAGCTTAGCCAAATAAGTAAATTTTTTTGGTTGTTTCTTTATTTTACACCTAAAATTCAAATATGCCTTCACTTTTGAAATATAGTCCTAATCCAAATTAGAAAATCTTTACAGGTTTACGAATTCCTACTTTTATTTTAATAGAATGTTTTTAATTGGATTGATTTCAGTTCCAGATTAAATCAGATCAGATCAAACTTTAATAATTATAACAATAAGTCACATAAAAAATAGACATCTAATAGACCATATTAATTCATACCAAATCAAACCCGAAATTTTAATTCAATTAAAAACGTTCTTATTAATGAGTAAACTATAAGATCTAACATTTAAGAAATATATATATTTTTTATTATTGGATTCATAACAATTATGTTTACTTGAGATGCTTATGTAGAAGACCAATTTAACTTTTTTTTCATATATTTTTTTCTTTGTTTCACAAATGGAATATATTTCACATATATTTTTCATGATTCAGAAGATTCCACCTATTTAACCAGAATTCAATCAATTTCAGCAAAATAAGTTAATTCTATTTACTTTAGTATTATCAAACAGACTCTATATTAGACTAAATTTATTTTTCTTTTAAATTACATTATATGTGATCCGATAGAAATTAAATTTCAAATTAGCTAAATTACATACTGCCCGTGCATCGCACGAGCTTGAAAGCTAGTCGAATGATAAGATAAAATAGGTGTTATCAAAGGGTTCTAAAGGAGAAAAATTAAAAAATTAAACCTGGGAGTTTAAGAAAATATTATTTAGCCTTAGTTATAAAAGTCATGTTTTTTAGTAATCCGACTATAGGATAGGAGTTCACTTTTGAGTTTCGTTTTCTCGTGCACTCCGACTGAACAACCGTGGCTACGGTAACTCTGTAAGGAAGTCACATGAGCAGCACGTGGCACACACTGTTATCCCGAATGATCAGGGTTGTATTTTAAGATCTAAAACCTTTTCTTTTTTCATTTCTCGTTTTCTAAAAGCATCCATTAGAGGAAAGAAAGGAATTCATATCCAGTTCTTCACATTCAGCTCTTCGAGCTTCCCAGGTATGCTGTATTTATTGAATGCGCGTTAAAGTATGTTCACTATTCTCCAGATTTTAATGATTCAAGCTTTTTTCTTGGGAATGTTTCTTTCTGTTTTTATTTCAAGATTTAATTTCTTGATGATAGAAAAAGTATCTTAGAAGTTTGAATCTTTTCCTCAGTCACTGTAACTTTATCTTCGTAATTTCTAGATAGGGTTGAAATTTCCATTTTGCGAATTATCTATCGTGAAGTTCAATAGCATTTTCCTCGTTCTTTTCTACTGCGTTGGAGGTAGGGTGTCAGAGTGTCAGACATGAATTAGACATAGTAGAAATGTCTAATTTATATTTTGGTAATTAGTAAAATCTTTTTGCAATCTGGTACTCCGTATCTTCTTCAGGATCTTGAAGTTAGTCGTAGTTTCAATTCTTTTAATGAGCATAGCTGTGTTTAGGGAGCATGTGACCCTGGATTTGCACAGGATCTAAAACCATTAGAATTTGTTAGAACTGAGAAATAAAGTTATTTATACTCTATCAAAAGCTTTCTGGGTTTTTTCTTTCAAGTTTGTTGTTCAGATCAATGATTTTTATTTGGATATGAATTAATTGAAGAATACTAGGGATTGAAGTTTGTAACCATTTCTCTTTTGGGGAGTGGGGACTCATGTTTAATTTGTTTTGCTTTAAGGACTCAAGCAACTTTATAAAAATAAAAAAATTAGCTACATGAATAGAATACATATGATATGTGTATACAGATGAAGTATATACAACATTTTTATATTTATATTTTTTGTTTTTTGCTAGTTGATGTGATTCATAGCCTCATAGGAATAATTATCTGGCTAGATTTCAAACGTTTTCTTAGCTATTATTAATAAAATTATGCTTGCGGCTATTATTTCCGAGTATAGCCTCCCATATGGTAGTTAAATTTGAAAACAAGGAGAACTATTTACTGAGCTTGTTACACAAGAAGTGTTACATGCCAATTTAATTAAAAAAATACAATATGCACCCTCTTACTAAAATTGCCACCTGTAGTATTTAACTAATTTAGAAAATTATTTGAAGTACATATTTTAAAAGGTGACAACTCCGGTACCCATTTAAAAATTGGGGTACCGTACCTACCAATCACTTGATTGATCCAAATCATTATATCATTTTTAATTTAGATTTAAATAATTCAATTGCATCATTCTGATTGGTCCATGTGGACAATTCTATGGTACCTTTAGGGTACCATAGAATCTACCTTATTAAAATCTATATCCATCTTCCAGTTTAAAAAGAATAATCTGATGGCATAGATATTAACTAAAAAACGCCACCTGCCCATCTCTCTGTTAAAAAGTTTAAAGTACACATGTTTTTAACAATAATCACTTCTTATGAGTTGCCTCCAATTGCATCGATATCATAGATCGATTCATGTTAGCCGACCCCAAATTCTTTTGGGATTAAGGCTCGGATGTTGTTGTTGTTTTGGTGGTGCCATTTAAGATTAAAGCGTGTTTATTATGGGTTTTTCGTTTCTATTTTCTTTTTTAAGTAAATATTAGATCATGAAATTAAGAAAAAACTATTTTCAGTGTTTTGCTATTAGTTTGAAAAGTAACATGATTATTATACATATTTCTATTTTAAAGCTCATTATTCAACCTACATCATACTACCTCTGTACCAAAAGAATCTTGTTTTCTAAGATATAACATTTTCTGTTTGTTTCAGAAAACTAACAAAAACGATTAATGTTCATTGATCTAATGTAATTAAAAAATAAGGTTTCAGACCAGTTAAGTATGTCTGTTTTAGTTTAAATAAATTTTAAAAAGCAATTACTCAAGATGATATACATCACACCCACGTGATAGGTTTTTAGTTTCTACAATCTACATTTAAGTAATTACCTATAAACTTATTTTACCCAACCGTCATTGCACAAACGTATTCTATTGGTATAAACTATAAAGATATGGACACTCTCCACTTGATTGGTGAAAAACATCGATTGAAAAACTGAGTAGGTGGATAAGCTATATTTCCTACCAATCAAATGAAGAGTGTTTGGTCATTCTCTTCTCAAGAGGGTGGCCATAGCATTTCTCTAATGTAAATAATTCATATATTTTGGTAATATTTGAAAAGTGGGATGGAGTCCATTAATCCAAAAAAAAGCACCGAGTCCCCAAAAGCACCACATTTGTACTCGTGTAAGGATTAGTTACATTCCATGTTACTTCCCTTTTAACAAAAAGGGTCTAGGCAACTTATATGGTGGTAAAGGAGCATATAAATACATTATTTGATGCATCTGTTCACAAGTATCATGCCAGTTCAGTAGGATTGCGTACATATGCCATGTGAAATGTCCAGGTTCAACACTTCAACCACTGAATATAATATATTTTGAAAACTCATTTACAGCATTCTGCAAATTGGTTGTATAACAAAGCTCTGAATAAATTATACTCGGTGGAGTAAATGGGTCATTGTATTGGATGTGTAGAGAAAATAATTGGATGTGAATGGCTCTGATTTATGATGCAACTTATCCACTTATGGTGTAGATGAAGGATTTGTTTAGTGTAAATGATGGCGGGCATGTGCAAATATAATTGTTGCAATATCTTGTGCAAAAAAAAACTGGTTTGTTGCCTCAATGATGGGTCATACATCATTGAATCGAATCTTATATGCGGTGTATATTATTGATTGATGTTGTAAATGAAGTGGGAACATGGTAAGGAAGCTGCTCCCGTACCATAGTATAAGAACTCATTAGTCTCCATGTAATGTTAATTCTTTGTGATTTTGTTGTAGTATTTTTAGCATTTGTTACTAAGCTGGTAATCGTTTATATACATATAGTTGTGTGGTGAGGCTTGCTCCTGCGTGAACAATCAACTGTTTCTGTAAGGATCAACGGGCATCGTCAGAATTTGTGAACTTCTGTTACCCTGAAGGATCATGGATTCCGGCTCTGGGAACGGCTCTAGTGAGCTGGAGGCGGAATCAAATAATGCTGACTCTGTTGAAGTGATCCTATCTAGTGGAGAAACATTGCAAGAACTAGATAACGTTGGGAAACTTATTTCCAAGATCGAACTAGATTTGGCATGCGCCTCAGAGAAACTTGTTAATTTGAGTGTACTTAAATTGCATTTGGAAACAAGGGAAAATTGTTTTGAGGCTTTTGCTGCTGAGGAGCAATCTATAAATGGTTGCCTTGATAAGGCATCTGAGTTTGACCTTTTATCCACGTTCTTGGACTCTGAGGTAAGGGAACTAGGTGGTTTCTTGTCCACCCTTCAAATGGAGATTGACTATTCCCACCAGCTCATACCTTCACAAGAGGATGCGGGGGAATGTTGCAGGATGTTAAAAGAAAAGTTGTATGGTTCTGAAAGTTTACTAAAAGACTTAGAAGCTCAGCTGTTGGAATTGGAGTCACAGTCATCCAATTTTCTTAGGATTCTCTCAACTTCTACTGTGGATGGAAATCGTAAGTATGTTGTGATTTTGTATTTAATGGCTTAGTTTATGTGACAGCAAGGCATCTGATATCGAATAATACACACACAAACACGGATGGGTATTAATTGAAAAGTAATTGATGATATGCTCACAGATTTTAATGCAGCTGTTATTAATGACAAAAGATATCCCCTAAAAATTTTGGTAGTTAGCTGATATTCCAAACAAGGTTGAATTAGGAGCTTAGTCACACAGAAGTAGAGATTCGGGTTAATGGTTGTGATTCATTCTGAAAAATAATTTCAGTGAAATCTCTCTCTCTAGTACTATCTTCAGCAAAGTAACACTTGTGAAAAATTATTTGCACTTCATGACAGGGCAAGATGATGACAAGGCTTTTGAAAGTATTGAACTGGCTGCTCCTTTAACTCCAAATACAAAGATAAAAATGGAGACTGCGGAGCATCAGAGGCATGTTTTGCAAATGCTGGAAAAGTCCTTGGCGAATGAGCTGGATCTAGAGAAGAAGCTTTCTGAATCAAAACAAAGTGAAGAAGACTTGAAACATGGGTTGCAGCAACAGCTGTTATGCTTAGAAATAGAGCTTGAAGATGCTTATGAAAGGCTGTTTGAGGCAGAAAATGCTTCTCAAGTTCTATTGGGGGTTTCGAAAGAGCTTAGAGGAAGACTGCAAATAACACAATTTAAATTAGACAGTGCATTACAGATAGAGGGAGACTTGAAGTCTAAATTGACAATTTTGAGTGAACAGTTGTCTGCTAAAGACAACTCATTGCAGAAGTCAGAGAATACTTGTGAAGAGCTTAGGAAAAAGCTTACCTCAGCTGATAACAAATTGAGTGATACTGATTTTCGCAAACATACTGCTACTTCATCTACTGAGAGTGGCTTTGACATGAAGGTTCATGAAATGGAAGCTAAATTAAAAGATCTTATGGAAAATAAAGCCAGAGCTGAAAGAAGAGCTGAGGTTGCAGAGGCTGAGTGTAAATCATTAAAAGATGCTAATATGGAACTTTACCAAGATCATATTACCCTTAGGAGTAGTAGCAGTTTAACGTGTGAGAGAGTTTGTCTGCTTGAGAAGCAATTGAAGGAATCAGAGCTAAATATTCAACTTGCAGTAGCATCTGCTGAAGCCAGTCAGGAGAAACAAACCATGCTAAATATTACCATCCAGGATATGGAAAATGTAATTGAGGTTCTTAAGTCGAAAGTTCTTGAAGCTGAAAGTCAAACTGAGAGTGCTGAAGAAAAGTGCATCATCCTATCAGAAGCTAATGCAGATCTCAATGACGAACTGAATTTTCTGAAGGGTAGAATGAAATGCTTGGCATCATCATTGCATCAAGCTGAGGAAACAAAGAAGGCAACTGCCAGAGATATTTGCCTTCATGCTGAACTGATAACAGACTTGATTATGCAATTGACACTTGAAAGAGAAAAGCTTCATAAGCAGGTTTCTAATCTAATCAAACCTTTTGAATTATTGATAGAGCTATACGTGCTTCTTTTACCGCTCATTCTAGATTGGATTCATGATATGTCAGAAACACAAAAACATACAACAGGATAGAACTTTTTTCAAACTAGTGCAAGCACAATTTCCTATCTATCAATATCTTTATGGTCAGAGCAAAAGTTTTCTGAATTTTTCGTTCCATTTGTTTACATATTATCTTGGTTGAAGTTTGCCCGCTTGAATTTTCTTTATAGTTGTATGCTTCACAAGAAATTATATATCCTAGAACCCATGATTTTTTTTAGCAAATCAAGGTTTTATATAGCTTAGCCTTCTTTTGCTAGAAGTGTGGAAAAGGTGTAGCTACTGGCTAGGCATTCAGTATTTTCTTTTTCATAAATGCCATAGCAGTCGTAAATGACAGAACAAAACGTTTTGGGAAATATGATTCTTTGGTTAGGACTTTCTCGTAAGGTAGTACTTATTATATTACTGTGGTGGATATCCTGATGAGAAGCTCCTTATTCACACACACAGCCAATTTAATCATCTTAAACTTCTGATATGTTCAGATATCTTCATTGGCAAAAGAGAAAAAAGCATCAGTTATGCAGTCTGAGGGTAAGGAAACGGTCCCTGATGTTCCTTTTGATGGAGATGACGAATATACGAGAAAGTTCATTCCTGCCAAGCGTGATGTTTGGTTTGCAAATTCGCCAAAAGAGAGTGGAGAAACTGCTGAGCTGTCTTTTAAAAAAGTGGTAATTGTCTGCAATCTCATTTGTGGTTTCATTATAAAATCTCTTGTTCCTCTGAAGTTTTTAGGGCATGAATATTGCTGTCCATTGAATGTGCTGATATTGGATGCACTCTGACAAATTGATATTTTTGGATAAAATGCTTATGAGTTACCTAAATACTGATAATCTGATGATCTTTACAATATTGTAGCTGCAAAAATACCCGCCTAATTCCACATATATTTGGCATAATCCTGGTTAAACTCGTGACTAAAGCTACTCCCGGTCTACTAACTGCCTAATTTTAGACGTTTCTCTGTTTCAATGCTGAACAGCAGGACAAACAATATAAAGCAATGCTCAATGATGAAGAAGACACTCTTTCAGTATCCAAGCTTGGTCCCACAAGGGACATAGATGCAAGGCAGCTTAAGTTGAGCTACTTCTTCATAGCTGCTCTTTTGATTATGGTTCCAGCTCTTCTGGCTGCTCTGTATCAGCACAAGAGCAGCAAATCATGACGATGATTGGTGCCAACTGAGTCGATTCTGGCTTCAAGGAACCCAAAGCCATTTTTGAGGGTTAATGTTGAACAAAAAGAAACAAAGAAGTTTCTACATGTTCAGGAGACATTGCTAGTCGAAGAACACCATAGAATTTTGTTTGTACCTTCATATAACTGTGCTCCGTAGTAGTTAGTTAAAAAATGCATAATGCATATAGTAGTACAACTGTACAAGGACACCTGATTGCCAAATTACTCACTGACTTCCTTTAGGCCCTGTTTGGTTGGAGGGTTTCGAAAGGGAGAAGAGAATTGCATGATTTGTGTGTGTTTGGTTGAAGGAAATAGGGGGGAAGAGGAGGAAAGTTGAAGGTTTCCAAAATCCTCCACTTCCTTCTATTCTCAACCCCTAAAGGAGGAAACGTGTTGATAACGACAAACTATTCATCATTTTTCTTAAAAATGTAAAAATGTAAAATCCTACGTGAATGGACAAAACGTTATCATATAAAAATGTAAAAAATAAAAAATCTTAAAATCTTAAAAAAATTAAATATTTAAATTTTTAAAAATTAAACAATTGAAAAATTAAAAAATAAAAAAATTAAAAAATTAAAAAATTAAAAATTAAAAAATTAAAAAGAGTAAAAAATTAATAAATTTAAATTTAAAAGATAAAAAAATTATAATATTAAAATATTAAAAATTTAAAAATTACGTAGTACAAAAATTTGAAAATTTAAAAATTTAAAAATTTAAAAATTTAAAAATTTAAAAATTTAAAAATTAAATAAAAAAATTAAAAACTTAAAAAACAAATAAAAAATAAAAGTTTAAAAACTTAAAAATTTAAATATTAAAAAACTAAAAATTATAAAATTAAAAAATTACAAAGTTTAAAAATTAAATAATTATAAAACTAAAAAACTAAAAAAATTAAAAATTGAAAAATTCCAAATTTTAAAATTTTAAAATTAAAAGATCTAAAAAATAAAAAAATAAAAAATAAAAATTCAAAAGTTAAAAAATTTAAAAAGATAAAAATCAAAAATACAAAAAAAAAAACATATTATGACTAATGACCTTAGGAGTAATATTCATAATAGTTAGAGATCCAATTTTTTTAAGTAAGCTATCAATGAAAGGTAAATTGAAAAAATATTTTTGATGGATAATAGGGTATCCAATCTAATAATAATAGGAGAGATTGAGGTTAAGAATGGAGAAGAAGATGAAGGGTATTGAATGTAATATTGGTTCTAGGGTTTACAAGCTCCAAAAGGAGTATATATAGAGAAATCCGGGTTTGAGCTTCTAATATAGGCCTGACAGATTCGGTTACATAAAAGGCTAATCTAGAACACCCGAATAATGATAATTTACAATAATGTAAATGCTATCTACTGAGCGTACGTGGACCGTTGTCCGAACCCAATAGTCATGAGACCGGGGTCCGTGTCCATATATCATCAATTTTTATTGTACTTTCCTCCTATTTCTTCCCACCAAACACAAATCTTTATCAAAATCCTTCTTTCCCCTTCCCTTTTCTTCCTCCCTTGACTCTCCCTTCCCTCCCCTTCCCTCCTTTGAGCCAAATAAGACCTTAAAGAAAAACATTTGTCTTTGCTACTGTGTCTCAACTCTTAAATTAAAAGTGGCGATACGTAGCAGTTTGACAGTTTATACATGAAACTGTTTTACATTAATAATATTATATTAAAACAATAATAAAATTATTATATTTTGCTTGATTATCTGCCGGTAATCTGCGCCTTTGCGGTTTCCACTTTCTGTGCTGATTTACAAAAATAAATAAATCCAATGATGAAGATAAGTTTGATCATTGATGCGTAGTAATATATAGCTGGGAAAAATGATTCATTGACTCAAATTGAAAGAATAAAGAGAAAATTAATGAAAGAGAAGTAAAAATGTTATGGAATTCTAAAATAAGAACATTATGTTTCTATTCTTTAAATAGAAGTAATTATCGTCAAATTTAGAAAAACTGTTATATTTAACGTGTGATACAATGTAAAAATAATAATTTCTTCTGTTTAGAAGATAAAAACACAATACTCCTAATTTGGAATTGAAAAGCGTTTTAATTCCTATATAGAATATTTTTGTGAGGATAAATAGTTTGTTAATAATTTAAGTAATATTTTATTAACTTTGCTCCATTAATTGTTGATAGTGAGTGTTGAGGTTAAGTCTTTGCGGTCCAAGGTTTAACATGTTCACTTGGGTTTTCGTCGGATCCTAATGAGTTTTATGTCTTTTGGTGTGTGGACGTACTAAGCAAATATGAGGGCAAAACAATAGCAAGAAAGCGTAACAAGTAAGATGGACCAAGTTCTATTGATGAACCGAGAACGATTACAACACCGAGAGAATATAGAAAAACTTAGAGAAAGAAGTTAAACTATTGAACATAAGTTACGTATTTTTTACAATGAAATAAATGCATCTATTTATTGGATAACAATGATTATTTTAGCCACAACTTCATTTACTAAAGTAAGGAGTATTGTTTTTTCGAAAAAGGGGCAAATAAGCCCACATACTAACCAAAAAAGGTCAAATAAGCCCTTATATATGAGGCTCTGTCCGGCCGTTGCCATTTGGGGCAGTTCCCGGTGGATTTTTTTGATGATTTTTTTTAGAATCTTATTCATTAAGTCTAGTTTAATCATACCAAATTTCATCTAACAATTCAATCGGGAAGGCATTCAAATAAATTCTTGAAGATAACTGCGCTTTTAACTGCGCAGTTATCTTCAAGAATTCATTTGAATGCCTTCCCGATTGAAGTTTTAGCTGAAATTTGGTATGAGTAAACTAGACTTAATGAATAATATGCTCAAAAAATTGCATAAAAAATTTTCACCAGGAACCACCCCAAATGACGACGGCCGGACATAACCTCCTATATAAGAGCTTATTTAACCTTTTTTGGTTTGTACGTGGACTTATTTGCCCCTTTTTCCTTGCTTTTTTGCTTGTAAGCAGAATAAGTAATAAAAATACTACGTAGTCTATTTATATATAAGAAAAGAAATAGTTTATCAAAATACCATTTTACCCTTCATTAATCCCATGTGTCCACCTCTCCTTAATTTGCTCATTTGCTACAAGAATGCCAAGTGACTTTTTACACTCCAAATGTATTTTGAACACCGAAGGAAAGAAGGGTTGGCGCAAGACATGCATTTGGTGAGGCCCAAAGTATAAAAAACCCCATTTTATTTAAAGTGTTATAACTTTTTCATTCTTGCTCCAATTTTTATAAAAAATATATCAAAATTCATAATTTTTTGTGATGTTTCATTTGAGATCAATATTGAATATATAAAAATATAATTTTTGAACGGTCTCTATAATTATGTATAAAATATAATTATACTCCCTCCGTCCTAATTTGATGGTCCTGTTGAGGTTTACGAGACTTGACCGACGATAAAGCAAATGAATTTCTGTTCGCACTCAAATTATTTGTAACAAATAAAATTTACATATTCATAAACTACATTAAAAGTTTTACCAAGTCGCAAAAACCTGAATCAAATTTCATGAAAATTTGATATAAAAAGTAAATGATTAAGAATAATTTGTGTTGACCAAGTGAATATGAACATGAACTAGGACCATTAATTTGGGACGGAAGTAGTATATATCTATGAGCGGGAAAATTTTCTATCTCATACATAGTGCTTTTAGGTATCTATATTTATATATAAGAAAAGAAATAGTTCATCAAAATACCATTTTGCCCTTCATTAATCCCATGTGTCCACTTCTCCTTAATTTGCTCATTTAGTACAAGAATGACAAGTGGTTTTTTTACACTCCAAATGTATTTTGAACACGGAAGGAAAGAAGGGTTGGCGCAAGACATGCATTTGGTGGGGCTCAAACTAAAAAAAAAAACCATTTTATTTAAAGTGTTATAACTTTTTCATTCTTGCTCCAATTTTTATAAAAAATATATCAAAATTCATAATTTTTTGTGATCTTTCATTTGAGATCAATATTGATAATATAAAAATATAATTTTTGAACGGTCTCTATAATTATGTATAAAATATAATTATACTCCCTCTGTCCTAATTTGATGGTCCTGTTGAGGTTTACGAGACTTGACCGACGATAAAGCAAATGAATTTCTGTTCGCACTCAAATTATTTGTTGCAAATAAAATTTACATATTCATAAACTACATTAAAAGTTTTACCAAGTCGCAAAAACCTGAATCAAATTTCATAAAAAATTGATATAAAAAGTAAATGATAAAAAATAATTTGTGTTGAGCAAGTGAATATGAACATGAACTAGGACCATTAATTTGGGACGGAAGTAGTATATATATTTATATATAAGAAAGTAGTAGGCTATTAAAAATATGATTTTATTCTCAATTATTATGTAACATGTCTACCTACAAGTGATAGAGAGCATTGATGTACTTATGTCACGTGAATTCATCTTTTGCATTTTTGTTATTTGCTTTACAAAAAAAGAATTATGGAGATAGAAAATATAAAAACTTGGCCTACTAATATACGTCATCTATCTTACTTTTAATAAGTATATAAAAAACCTCAATTTTCTTTGAAGTGTTATAACTTTTTCTTTTTTACTCTAATTTTTACAAACTATATGTCAAAATTCATATTTTTTGTGATCTTTCATATGAGTTAATATTGAATATATAAAGAAATATTTGTTAAAGGTCTCTATAATTATGTTTACAATAATATATATTTACATATAAGAAAGGATTAGGCTATTAAAAATACCATTTTGTCCAGTTATTATGTAACGTGTCTATCTGCCAGATTAGATAGCATTGCTCTATTTATGCCACGTAGCTTCATCTTTTCTGCAGAACTTCGTAAATTTCTACGGAATTAGCCAATTCAACCGATTTCAGTGTTACCAAAAGGGCTCATGGTCTTACTTTTAATCAAAATATAACGTTATACTCTCATTATCAAAGTATTATAAACCATATTCCTTCCTATTATAAGGTCACTCGAAATTAAAAAATTAGCAAATGAAAATGATAACCACATCGGGTGCTCAAATGCTAATAAATAAAACTTTTAAATTTAATTCAATTTAATTTATATGTGTTCATTTCTCCACGATTCACTCTTTTGCTATAAAGATGTCAAAATGCTAATAAATAAAACTTTTAAATTTAATTCAATTTAATTCATATGTGTCCATTTCTCCAAAGCAATGACGACTCGAGGAGAAATACAACCGGCGGGGCCCACCCTATAAAAATAGATTTTCATGCAAGGGATAATGGATAAAAATATGTTTTATTGACATTTAGTGACTATTATAAATAAAAACTAGCCCTTATATAATATATACAAAATGCTTATATGCTCATTTTTCATTTAAAATAATGTGCTGTTTGGTGACCTTATTTTGGATTTATCAACCTTATTAGTGATTTTTTCATCAAATACTTAAATTTTTAATTTGTGCACTGAATAGTATAATGATCAAAATAAGAAATATTGAAGTTCATTTACTTCCTGAATTGAATGAATTTATTACAAACGAAAATTTTAGCTACTTTTTCAGATAAATGTTTATTTATTTTTTAAATAAGATATATTTTAAATTAATTTTTCTATAATTCACTATATGCAGCCAGTTGAACGGTTTCAGCAAAAACTTCATCAATTTCAATAGATTCAGCCATTTTATCTGTTACCAAACACACTCTAAATAACACTCTAAATGAAAAAAAAATCAATGTATGATAGTATTGTTAATGTAAAATAGATCAATGATTTTAAAATATCAAATAGATGAATTGTTCAAATTTCATAAGCATTTGATATAAAAAGTAAATGATTAAGAATAATTTGTGTTGACCAAGTGAATATGAACATGAACTAGAACCATCAATTTGGGACGGAGGTAGTATATATCTATTCTATTTATATATAAGAAAAGAAATAGCTTCTATTAGAAGTATACTCTAAATATGTTACTTCCTTAAATAGATTATGGGTGAATCATTACACATACATTATTCTAAAAAAAATCACATAATAAAATGTTGCATCTATTTATATATAAGAAAAGAAATATCTCCTTAAAAGACAAATTTTCCCTCTTTAAAGCTTATGTGCTCTTCTCCTTACAATTCTCTCCTTTACTCTACATATACTCTACGTGCCAACCTCAAGTCCTCAAGGACTTTATATGGAACACAATTGATGCTAATCATTTGTAAATTAAGGTGGCATCAATTCATCGGACCCACTATATTTAAAAAAATCCCATTTCTTCAAAGTGGTATAACTTTTTCATTTTTTCTCTATTTTTTATAAAAATATACCAAAATTTATAATTTTTTACGATCTTTCATATGACACCAATATTGAATACGAGTATGAAAAATTAAAAAAAAAACTGAAGATTTATTAGACAATCTTTCTATTTGCCGAACTCAATACAGCGCATTCCTTATTAAATAAATATAAATTCCTAATATATAACAAAAAAAAATAATGGATAAAAATATGACTTATTAATTTTTAGTGCCTAACAATTGAGCAAGATAACTTTCTCTCTCTTATGTAGTTCTTTTAAGTATAAGATTAGTGGTTTTAGGTATTAGAAGTTAAGCTTGCTAACAATTGAGCGAGATAACTCTCTCTCATATGTAGTTCCTTTAAATATAAGATAAGTCGGCTAACAATTGAGCGAGATAATTTTCTATCTCATTTGTATTGCTTTTAGGTATAAGAAACTAAAGAGATAAACTTGCTAACAATTGAGTAAGAGATTTTTCTCTCATTTGTAGTGCTTTTTAGTATAAGGTAAAATAAACCATCTAACAATTGAGCGGGAGAATTTTCTCTCATACGTAGTGCTTCTAGATATAATATTTTAAATATAAAAATAAGCCATAAGCCGTCTAACAATTGAGTGCAATATTTATATCTCCCCCCCCCCCCCCCCCTCTCATAAGTAGTGCTTTTATACAAAAGATAATCCAACTAACAATTGAGAGATGTCTATAGATAGTGCTTTTAGGTATAAGACAAGTCTGCTAACAATTGAGCGGGAGATTTTTTTAATAATATGTAGTGTTTTTAGATATAAGATTTTAGATATAAGAAAGATTAAGCCATAAGTCGTCTAATAATTGAGTGAGAGATGTCTATCCCTCATAAGTAGTACTTTTAAGTATAAGATAATCTAGCTAACAATTGAGAGGGGGGATTTTCTCTATCATATATAATGCTTTTAGGTATAAGATAAGCTGACTAACAATTGAGCGGGAGAATTTTCTCTATCACATGTAATGCTTTTAGCTATTTGAAAATAAACTTGCTAACAATTGAGTGGAACCATTTCTCTCTCTCATATAGTTCTTTTAAATATTAGATAAATTGACTAACAATTGAACAAGAGAACTGTCTCTCTAATATGTAAGAGTTTTAGGCATAAGAAGATAATTTTGCTAATAGTTGAACGGGAGAATTTTCTCTCCCATGTAGTGATTTTACATATTAGAAGATATGCTACTAACAATTGAGCGAGCGAATTTTCTCTCTCATAAATTTCTACGGAATTAGCTAATTATTGAACAGAAGAATTTTGCTCTCACATATGTAGTGCTTTAGGTATTAGAAAATAAGTTTGCTAGCAATTGAGTAGAGAAATTTTCATATATGTTGTTCTTTGAGTACAAGATAAGCTGAATAACAATTAAACAGTAAAAATTTCTCTCGCATACATAATGTTTTTAGGTATAAGATAAAGCGGCTAAGAATTGAGTAGTATAATTTTCTCTCTTTTATGTTAGCACTAATTTAACTAATGAGTAGCAAGTTCTTATTTAACTAATACGAAGTATTAGTTAAGTTTAATATTTATTGTATTCACTTAAACTTTATGTCAATCACTTATTGTACTCACCTTTTTTAGTATAGTATTTAATATCAAAATGAATTTAATCATGAAAATTAATAAGTTGCATATTCTAATGAGTGTTGTCAATTAATTTTTTCTAATATACTCTTCATTGAATATTTATTGTATGAGTTATACTTCATGATATTAGATTATTGTACTATTATTTTTCGAAAATGTCGAATCCTACAAAGTTATTTTTATTTTAATATTTAATTAGATAATGGGTAAAATTATATGCTCGGACTGCTCTTTCCCGTGCGTATGCACGGGTACTATACTAGAAGTGGTTTTGATTATAAGATAAGATCATAAGCCGGCTAAAAATTGAGTGAATGAATTTTCTCTCTCATACATAGTGTTTTTAATTATAAGATAAGCCGATTAAAACAATTGAGCGGGGAAATTTTCTATCTCATACGTAGTGCTTTTAGGTATAATAATAATAATAATAATAATAATAAAGAAGAAGAAGATTAGGTATGAGAAGTATAGGTATATAATTAGCCGGCTTGAACAATTGAGCAAGAAAATTCTCTCTCCCATATGTAGAGGTTTTATGTATAAGAAGATAAGCCGACTTAACGTGCAGATGATTGGGCGGGATGATTTTCTCTCTCATACGTAATGATTTTAGGTATAATAAAAAGGTAAGATAAGATGTGCAGACGAATAATCGAGCGGGTTAATTTCTCTCTCACATGTAATGCTTTTAAGTATAAGAAGATAAAAAGATTAACGTGCAGATGATTGGGCGGAATAATTGTCTCTCTCATACTTAATAACTAAGTATATAAGAAGGTAAGATAAGATGTGAATACGAATAATTGAGCGGGATAATTTATCTCACATATGTAATGCTTTTAGGTATAAGAAGATAAGATAAACAGATTAATAATTGATCGAGAGAATTTCATCTCATATTTTTTCTCTCATGACCTTTTAAACTTCTTAGAAGACATTTTGCTATAATTATCACCAATGTTATAACAATGAATAAATATCAAGCTCTATCACTGCAAAAAGATAAAATATTCCCACCTAGACGTATTTTAGTCATGTAAAATTTATATATGTGCCGTTATAGAGAGAGTTTAGAAGATATGGATTAATGGTTTTAATACTACGTACATGATAAGAAAAGAAAATCACAAGTCATTACTACTATAAGTTCTCTTTAAGGTAGTTTTTCAAAACTCTAAGAAATAAGTTTAATATTTCACTCTGTTGCCAACATCACTAATTATTATTACGTAGTAAATTTTAATGGATGCTGTTGATTTTTTATATTTTAATTTTCTTTTACTTTGAATATTTGTTGTATGAATTTATACTTTTTATATTCACTTATCATACTCCATTTTTGAAATGAAGTAAATGGTAAGATAAAAAATATATTTTTATATTTAACGAGATCATGAATAAAAGTATATGTAGAGCGACCGTTTTTTAGGACTGTGCTAGTTTATTTTAAAAAAACAGTCCTTAGTTCCGTAGAAAATTGTTCGCAGAGAAGGAGATTCGATCAAAGTATCCTTGCCCACTTCAAATGGGCTTCAAATAAGAGCTGCTGCAACATTGCTCAGAAGATATAGGCTGCTTTTCATTCAATGGAGGAAGGTTCTAGTCTTCAGCATCAAATGCACCAGAAAATCACCACCAAAACGGCCTGTTCCGCCGCTGCTGTGGAGGAGGTGACGAACAAGGAGCCGAACCTCTACCCGTTCGAGTGTGGCCCTCTTTCGCCCCCATCTCCCACGCTTTCAACCGCTTTTGATGATTTCAACTTTTCTCCAAATTCACCTTCTGCGTCAGAAAAGTCCGGTTCGGCTCCTTTCGACCCCCTATCTAATTCCTTCTTTGACGATGATGAATACCAAATGAATTTCGTCACCGATTTGTTTGAGCCTGTCGATTTTCTGGTGTCTAATGATATCGATAGGGTTTTCGGAGCTGGATCTGATGGTGTAAATAGCACGGACGATATGGAGTTAGAGTTGGGGACTGTATCTGATTTCGGCCAGCCTGTTACTGCTTTGGAATCGCATAGTTCTCCATCTGTTTCTGGCCTTCGAATAGTTGGGATGGATTCAGAGTCGGATACAGAAGATACAGAAATGATATCTGGGGTTAGTAATCAGAATGTTGTTCGGGTGAATTGTGTGAGGTGTAATAACGACCTAGATTTGAATGAAGAATTCGATTGGGAAGAAATAAATGAAAGACTTGAGGAGAGGGGTAACATAAGCTCATTGATTGATGAAATTGAAGAGTTGTTAGTCTCCTCTGAGATATCTTCTTCAGATGGAAATAACTCATTTTCTGACGATGGAGGAGAAGAGGATGGCGATAGGAATGTAGAATGGCAGGTACTTTTGGCAAGGGGTGTTGTTGAAGAACACATTGAATTTGAAAGCGATAGTATTGGTGATGAGATGTCATCCTTAGGCGTGAATGGTGTTCATGCTTATGGTACAGACTATGACCATGATTCCCTTCTTGGACAAATTTTGGAAATTGGAAGTGTTTTGAAGGGCAGCCCCCCTGCTTCCAAATCTGTAATAGAAAGTCTTCCCTGTGTTGTCATCACAGATGAAGATTTGAGTACAAACAGTGTTTTTTGTGCAGTTTGTAAAGATGAGATTTTGATCGGAGAAAAGGTGAATAAGCTGCCTTGTTCCCATTATTACCATGGGGGTTGCATCATTCCATGGCTAAGCATTCGGAACACATGCCCTGTTTGTCGCTATGAGCTTCCCACGGATGATGATGATTATTCGAAGAATAAAAACGAAAGAGCTATTGGAGCTGGTTTTGTCAATGATTTGGAGGTATGAGTATAATTTTGAACTTTTACAGTGAGATTTGTAATAATCCATGAAATTTCTGGACTAAGGGAACTACTTTTTTGCTTATGCAATGTATTACTTTGTTATGTAGGAGTATAATATTGTAGTGATAAAAATGTAATGCAAGCGTTGGAACTCTTTTGTTATAATGTAATGTGGTTTTGCAACCAACCTGGTATATATTCATTACCCACAGTCACTAGCTAGGTAAGGAAAAGATGACCAGTTCTTTTTTTGCTGACCTTCAAATAGGGGTTGACACAGGTCTGTTCCTGACCCCTTCCTCTTAAAGTAGGAACCTTATCTGGAACTGACAATATTGGTTATGTTTAGAACTGAGGATTTTGGCTCAAGTTAATTTCTCACAATTAACTAGTCTGAATTTTCTAGTCTGATAATTAAAGAATGGAATAGGAACCGGAACCGGAACCGTGGAGCCTATGTTGAAGGAATCATACAAAAAATATCTCTTCACCGGTTCCAATCCTAGAACCACCAGTTAGCTCAGCTTCATGTTAAAAAAAATCAGACGGTGCCAACCCAGAATATCTGATCTCTTTGGGTATCCTTATTTTAGACATTAATTGTTGTTTACCTAATTGGTCAGGTCTAACCCCCCATTAGTTTTTATTTATTTACCTTATCTTTTCCTTTACTTTTTTTTCTCGTGTACTCCGGAAAAGGATGTCTTCTCTGAGAGGTTTTGGTCTAGTCCAGGACATTTACCCCATGGATGTGTGAGCAATCTACCGGGACAAAATAAAAATAAAGAACTACCGGCTCCCACCAAAGTAGGCTCCTTTTGTCCTTTCTAGGAAGGGACTCTGATGAAGTCTAATTAAGAACCAGAAAATTATCGACAATATTAATGAATACAAGACTTTATGTATATTAGTTCCCGAGAATCTTGGTGAGGAAGTATTAGAGCGCTCCCAAATCATAATATATTGTGTACTATTTCCAACTAATACAGTATTAAGTACGAATATTAGTAATGAGAAACTAATGATTATACTGAGTAATAAATGACCCTAAATCATAGCAAATTATTGGCCCCATTGTGGATGTCACGCTTGTCCTTAAGCTTGGAAGGGAGTCACTTGTTACACTAAGTGGCTGTTTGGAGCCCCAAAAAGGGCTGATAAGCCTGAAAATTTAAAAATATTGCCAAACACATGGTGAATGGGCTGTTTGGGCTGAATTTTCTCATCGGCCAAAAAAGTAACAACATAGCTACTTTTTGAGCTGAAATGTATTAATTTACCGTTGGAAAGCAAATATACTCCTTTACCCTTCAATTTTACGCGTAATACGTCTCTAGTCTCGCCATTCTTTTTTTTATCGACGATGAGAAGCACTTCCCATATAGGTTGCGCCATTGTTTTTCTAGACCGACGACTTCTTGCTGGGCTTCTCCATATTCATCTAAAGGTATGTTGCCATGTCCTCCATCTTCTTCTTCAAGTGTTCGCAGGTCCAAGGTCCATGTTTTTTCTATCTTTGCTTAATATTATCTTTAAATCAATTGGTATGATGTTTTTGTTCTATTAAGTGCAATAAAAAATTGTTTGGGAGTCCATTCAGAGAACCCTGTAGGCCTGTATTGATCGTAATTCTGTTTCAATTGGAAAGGATTAGTTGTGCGGTGAATTGTAAAGGATGCAACGCTAGGACTGTAATTACTTGTATGGAATGATAAAGCTGCCAAAATCCCATTTACCACAAAATTTTACCCGTATGACAACCCGAGAGTGGAGCTTGGGGGAGATCCCTAGCCTAATTTTTTTGTGTCAGTAATTCAATCTTATACATTTGAAAATTACATTAAACATCTGTTGAGATAAATCCTTGGAGCAAACAACTGTCTTACCCAACCTTTCTGCCAAGCACCTGTTTAGGCCGGCTAGTAGCTGATGCCAAACGAGTTATGGAAATAGAGCTAGTGTTAGAAGCCAAGATTGCAGAGTTCTTCACAATCTTGTCCAAATCCACAAACAATTTTTTCTTCACTGTTCAGATTCCATGATAAGAGTAGTTGTATAAAATAATACTCCCTCCGGTTTCAAAAGATCTTGACACTTTGATTTCACATTTTTTAAGGAAATAAACACTGTTTGGCACTGTTTTGTGTAGATTTATTTGCCAAATAAGGCAAATTAGGAAGTGTAAAGATCTTTCTGGTACTGCTAAAAATGGAAAGTGTAAAGATCTTTTTGAACCGGAGGGAGTATAAAATTCGATGTAAGACTAAGACCGAAATTTTCAAAGTAATCAATTGTTTAAGTAGTCTTATAATTACCTAATCAAGCAAAAGTAATTTAGTAAAGTTCACACCCATATTTTTAACACATAAGCTAATGCCTTTTATAGTAATTTTACATTCGATCAACCATTTCAGCCAATATGTTACCACACACTTTCACTTCAACAAATTCAGTCTTTTCAGGCTTTTCAGCCATTCAAGCTGATATGTTACCACACACTTTCACTTCAACAAATTCAGTCTTTTCAGGCTTTTCAGCCATTCAAGCTGATGCAGCTGTTACCCCCTAAACATTTCCTCTGTCAAAAGGTATTAGATAACAAATGTGGAGTTATTTATATTTGCTCACCGTGCAAAATGTTGGTGTGTGAACATTCATGATATATAATTTCTCTTTTAGCTTCATTTAATATTTCCCATCAGTATTAATCTATGTTCATATAATATACGGAGTAATGTATAGATATTTAGGTAGTTCCAGTTCAGTATTTAAAAGTACTAGTCAAAGTTGTTATGACCAGGTATTTAAAAAATAGTATACTCGTTTTGACTTATAAACATGGTATGCTATTACGTTAATCAGCAGCACTTATTGCTTCTCAAACAAATGAAACAATACAGTTGTATTTGTCCCAAATGTTTATCCAAGGTGTACTATTCAAGAGACAATCCCTTTTATGGTTGAAGTTGCTCGTAACATTCATCTCAGCATTTTTTTAAATCCCGTAGATAACTCACCAAAATTAGTGGAGTGAAAAGATGAGGGGAATTAGAACAAAACCTTCTCGAGACACAACATTAAAATAAAATGCGAGCACGCTGAGAAGATCCATCAAATAGGCTGGTGACATTAAAATAAAATGCGGCCGGCCGAAAAGATCCAACCGTTTGAGGCAGATCACGGACAAATGAGAAAATTAACCTTTGGGTAGGGCCCAGCGGATATCATCTGAGCATAATACCATACTATAGCTTGATGTTTGTATTCCTAATAGAGCAAGTTTATAAAATTTAATTGAGAATAATATGGTTCTAATTCATTGGAGTGATAGGACGCTTTAAACTAGTATTACCTCCGTCCCGCTATGATTGTTCCATTTTACCTTATCGATCCGTCCCACTAAGATTGTCTCATACCAAATTTGGTAAAGTTTGTGTGGCTCTAAATAATTATTATTTTATTCTTACTTTATTCTTACTTTATCAATTCAATATCAACTACATAAACCACTTTTATTAATTTGCGTGTCACTTCTTCTTGTCCCATTATTAGCGGGACGGAGGGAGTAATAAACTTAAGTGCATAAATATTTAAAAAAACAGCGACATCTCGGCATCAAGGGCAACATTAGGATTTCACTTTTGGCTTAGAAATATGTAAAATTTGGAGAATAAGTAATCAGAGGTGCAAATGAATCAATCTTCTCGTAAGCTACTCGTGAGCCGCTCAGTCAAAACTTAACTCACGTTCGGCCAAACTCGAACACGAGCCAAACTCGAGCAGGCTCATTAAGCAAATGAGCCAAGCTCAAGCTCGATCCGTTTGAGCTCGTAAGCACGCAAGCCATAAATAAATAAATAAATAAATAATTGATTATATAAATAAATACTATATTCGGTCCTCCGTTCTTTAATAATTGCAATACTTTGATTTTCACGTTTGACAACACACACATTTGATTGTAATTATATTTAATTATGTATTAGTAAACATTATAAAAAGTTAATATTTTAGAAATTCATATTAATAAAAATTGAATAACATTTTATACATAATAATTTGATTATATATATTAATAGAAAATTGTGGATGATTAAGTACAGATATTAGATTTTTATTTATTTATTTATTTGTATGTATAAATGTGATATTAATATTTTGGAAAATAATAAATTTTATTTTTAGTTCAAATTCGAGTTTGAGTTCCAACATCCTATTCGAGCTCTAACCTATAAAAATTAATTACTAAAACTCAACCCGAGCTCTAACAGAGCTCGAGCCGAGCTCAAACACGAGCCAAGCTCGAGCTGTGGCTCGTTAAACAAATGAGCCAAGCTGGAGCTCAATTCCTTTGAACTTGTGAGCACGCAAGCCATAAATAATATATATATATATATATATATATATATATATATAAGAGATCAAATACAAACTATGCTTAAAATACTAACCTACAAACCCAATGATATGCATCACTTTGAACTTCGATATGCAGTAAAAATAATGTAAAGATTCAAGGGTGGCATCACATACAAACTAGTCCTCTAATTCAAATCATCTTTACATTATTTGTATTGCACATTGAAGTTCAAAGTGTTTCATATTATTCAAGCCATAAAATAGCAGTTTCATATTTACATTATTTGTATTGCATATTGAAATTCAAAGAGTGCATCTTTACATTATTTGTACTGCATATTGAAGTTCAAAGTGTTGCATATTATTAAGTTTGTAGGTTAGTAAGTTAAGCATGGTATATATAGGGGTGGGATCGGTCCGAGTTGGGTTGGGTTTTTGCTCTACCCGGAAATTACCCAAAACTTCTCGGGTTATGAAAAAATGGGACCGGAAAAAAGCTCGACATATTCGGTCCGAGCCGAGTTTTTTGAGGCTCGGGTTTGGTCTGGGTTCGGGAAGGGTCGATTACAGCCCAATAAAAAAATGTCATTGTTTTTATTAAAAAAAGGTATTCAAAAAATGTTCGATAATCAATCAAATCGATTCAACCTTCACACTTTCTATTATAGTCAAAGCAAATCTATTTAATCAATCATTCAAAGGCTATAAAGCAACTATATTTCAATTTATAGCACAATAAAAGTATTGATCCAAAACACTCATGAAGAGCCAAACATAAATAATAGCAAAATCCCAAAAGCAAAAATTCAAACCTAAGACATAAGAGAACAAAGTTCTGACAAAATGATGTTTCTCTTTAAGATGGATTAAAAAACAAAACAAATTAGAAGACACCAAGAGAGTATTTGGACTTGTTTCCATATAATATCTCAATTTTTTATAATAAATTATAATGAAATATTCGGGCCGGGTTTTGGCCGGTCCGGCCGGTTTGTAATTTTTAGGGACCGGATTTGGGCCCGGAATTTCGGGTTCGGTCCGTTTTTTTTAATCGGCTCGTCAAAAATAAAAAAAAAACCGGCCTGGTAACATTTTTCGGTCCGAGCCCGGGTCGTATTTCGGGTTTCGGTTCGTTTTTTCCCACCCCTATATATATATATATATATATATATATATATAGAGAGAGAGAGAGAGAGAGAGAGGATATATATATATATATATATAGAGAGAGAGAGAGAGAGAGAGGATTATTCATGTCCGACTGGTCCGGACAGGAGCCTCGTTCGGCCTCCACCGTTTGGGGCGGTTCCCGGTGGTATTGTTTACTGATTTTTTTGTATGTTATTCATCAAGTCTAGTTTATCCACACTAAATTTCAGCAAGTCTATTATATAGGGTGCGGTTCCGGTGAAAACACTCCTTAACGTGAGAAATGAGAACGCTCCAAACTCAATAATATGCAACACTTTGAACTTCAATATGCAATACAAATAATGTAAAGATGCATGCCGTGAACTTCAATATGCAATACAAATAATATGTAACACTTTGAACTTCAATATGCAATACAAATAATATGCAGCACTTTGAACTTCAATATAATAATGCAATGCTTAGGGAATACTTTGTAATTTCCATAACTCTATTTTATTATAAATATGATGCTAAGGCACCCAATAGGGTAAGCCATTATTTCCCAAAATTCATTATTTTGTATATGGTATCAGTGGCTAGGATTTTCTACACCCTTACCGATTAATATGGCCGGAACTACCTCAACTACCGCTACCCTCAGCAGTGGTCCGGCGCCCGCAGGACAGGAGCCGCCGGTAGTCCCCTTCGGCGATTCATCGTGTGCCACAAATAGCAACTCTCGGCCGATGACTTCGTCTTCCCCATTACACGTTGCGCCGATCCGCTCGCCGCTTGCAGCAAATTTATCTCACAGAATTGGCTCGCTCCATCCCATGGAGTCTTACAGATTGTTCAATCTTCCGCCAGACCCCTTCACTTGGTCACAACCTCTGCCGCAGGCGTACTCCCAGCCTGCATCGCATCTTCCAGATATTGGTGATCCACGGATGGAATTTTCAGGCCCCACTCTTTCGGGTCAGCAAGGTCCACCGATTGCTACAGTTCAGCCACACACAATTCCAGGTTATTCCCAACCTACGGGTGTTTTATCATCTCTAGCATCTCAATTGGTTTTTTCTACACCCAATGTCAATAATATTGTTACTACTCGGTTATCTGCTGTTGAGGATTACTTGCCATGGAGAACACAATTTGAATGTTTCCTTGTCTCTCATAGCTTGTTAGGGATAGTGGATGGGTCTCTACAGACTCCACCTTCTACTGTCACGGATTATCATCATTGGCTAAAAATTGACCAAACGGTCCGTTCATGGCTTTTGGCAACGCTTGCTAGAGATGTTTTGATGGAGGTTTATGATCTCAAACACTCCCAACTTATTTGGGAACGTTTACCTACATCAACGTTTTATGTCTGCTTGTTTTGCTCGATCCATAGAACTTAAACGTTTGTTATCTCATGTGAAAAAGAAGGAATCTCAGACTATGGATCAGTATTTGTTGGAAATTAAAATTATGGCAGATTCCTTAGCAGCCATTAATTCTCCAGTCAGCAATAAAGATTTACTTGAGTATGCTATTCTTGGTCTGGGATGCGGGTTTGAGTCCCTTATTACCACCATCACCTATTTTCCGGGGAACGCTACACTTGAAACTTTACGGCCCATTCTCTAAGCACAGGAACAAAGGAATTCACTTTTACATGCCCAGGAGTCAGCCCCGGTACACCAAGCATTTGCAGCAGCCAACCCAAATGCTCCAGCGGCCCAGGCAGTTACTGGCCGAGGGGGTGCTACTCGGGGTGGAGGCACACGTGGTGGACGTGGCAATCGTGGTGGCCGTGGACCCGGAGGCCGCGGTCGTGGTGGTCGCGGATATTATCAGTACTTTCCTCAACAGCAATATGGAGCACAACCGCAACCCTACCCTCCGGGACAACCACACCAGCGTCCACGTGGACCTGCCTATCCTGGTGGCCCAGGTTCGGTATTGTGTAATGTTATGTCTACTAATAATTATGCTGCTTATTCTCCTCTATCTGCTACTCATAGTTTTAGTGCAGGTTTTCCATATGTGGACAACTCCTATCAGTCTCCTCCTCCTCCAGTTGTTTGCCAGTTATGTTTTTCTCCATGTCATTCCGCCTTGCATTGTTCGCGTTTCACTGGCTCTACCACTCCTGCCCTTGCTGCTCTTCCCACCGGTGAAACTCATGATTCGGTCTGGTACCCTGATTCTGGAGCTTCCGCGCACATGACTCCTCACGAAGGTATTTTTTATTATAAAACTTCTTACACTGGCCCGAATCAAGTATGTGTTGCTAACGGTACAAAATTACCAATTTCCCAGGTTGGTTACTTAAAGCTAGTCACTAATGGTCGCCCGTTATATCTTAATTCCGTTTATCATGTCCCACACATTAAATACAATTTAATGTCCATTCAAAAATTGTGTGCGGATAATTCCTGTCAATTCATTTTTAATAAAAATTCTTTTTCTGTTAAGGACAATCAAACGGGGGAGCTTCTTCTTCAGGCACCTAATAAAGATCATGTTTACCCTTTTCAAGCCTTTCAAGCCCGTGTTGTTCCTGGTCCAATTTGGCACAAGCGTCTGGGGCATTGTGGTGATAGAGTTCTTTGTAGTCTTAGGCAAAATAAATTCATTACTAGTTCTTCTTTATTTACTCACGATTGTGTCTCTTGCAAGTTGGGTAAATCCCACAGACTTCCTTTTCGAAATGTAATTCATGACACTACTGCTCCTCTACAAATTATTCATTCAGATGTTTGACAGTCACCTATTTTATCCAATCTTGGGTATAAATATTATGTCTCTTTTATTGATGATTTTTCTCGTTATACGTGGATCTATCCTATGTGTAGAAAATCTGAGGTCTTTACCCATTTTTCTAATTTTCAGAAACTTGTTGAAAATCTTTTAAACTTGAAAATTAAAATTTTTCAAAGCGATGAGGGTGGCGAGTTTGATAACTCGAATTTTTAACAACATTTTTTAAATTCTGGCATTTTATTTCGCAAATCTTGTCCAGACACCCTTGCTCAAAATGGTGTGGCCGAGCGAAAGCACAAACATCTTCTTGAATTAACCAGGACTATGTTGATTGATTCTTCCATCCCTGGTCAATTTTGGGTTGATACACTTTATACTGCTACATTTATCGTAAATCGCTTACCTACACCTATTTTGAAAGGAATTTCCCCATACGAAAACTTTTTCATAAAACGCCAGATTACAATTTTTTGTGTGTGTTTGATTGTTCGTGTTTTCCCAATTTCATAACCGCATCTCACAATAAACTCTCACCACGCTCTACACACTGTGTCTTTATTGGTTATGTTCCAGGCTACAAGGGTTACCATTGTCTATCTCCCTCGCCTGGTCGTGTCTATGTTAGTAGGGACGTCGTTTTTCACGAAAATGTCTTTCCCTATCCTTTACTTGCTGTAAATACATCCCAACCCACCACCGGCCTACCTCCAACATCCTGGTTATCCTCCTCCACTACCCTGCCTTCCACCTCTCTGTCGAATATCTCCCACACATCCACTACCAAACCCAACTCCCCTATTAATCAACCCCTGCACCATACCCTTCCACCACCACATTCCCCTTCATCCCACGTGTCTTCCCCAATTATACCTATAACACCAGTCTCGACTACCACCAACCCACCCCACTGCACCCCACCGTCTCCAATTCATGCTAGCCCCACTCTTCCACCATCGCCTATTACCACTGACCCCTCACCCGTTTCCTTGTCTCAACCGCCAACTAATATTCATCCAATGAGAACTCGGGCCAAAGATGACATCTTTAAGCCCAAATCAATTTTTAATTTAAGTGTTTTTTCTCCCACCGATGATCCTACTTGTTTTACACAGGCTAATAAGAGTAATATATGGAGAGCAGCCATGGTTGATGAATTTAATGCTTTAATTGTTAATAGGACTTGGGATTTGGTACCTTGGGATCATACTAAAAATGTGGTCGGTTGTAAGTGGATTTATAAAACAAAATATCTTTCTGTGGGTCTGTGGAGCGTCACAAAGCTCGCTTAGTTGCTCAAGGTTTTAAACAACAGACTGGTATTGATTTTACTAAAACTTTTAGTCCTGTTGTTAAACCTACCACTGTTCGTCTTCTTTTATCCATTGCTGTGTCTCTGGGTTGGTCTGTACGTCAACTTGATGTGAAAAATGCTTTTTTACATGGTCACTTAACTGAGGAAGTCTATATGTGTCAGCCTCAAGGCTTTGTACATCCATCTTTTCCTAATCATGTTTGTCGCTTTAGGAAGGCTCTTTATGGTTTGAAACAGGCACCTCGAGCCTGGTTTCATCGTTTCAGTGGTTTTCTTTTGAGTCGAGGTTTCACACAAAGCAAGTCTGATTCATCCATGTTTGTTTATCGGTCTTATTCCCACTCGATTTATATTCTCTTATATGTGGATGATATTTTAATTACAGGCTCCTCAGTTTCTTTTGTTAAGTCTGTTATCCATACCTTGTCCCTTCAGTTTTCCATGAAGGATTTAGGGAATGTTCATTATTTTTGAGCATTCAGGCCCATCGTACATCTCAAGGTCTATTTCTATGTCAGGCCAAATACATATCTGATTTATTATAACGTTTTCACCTTCACACAGTTAAACCTGTACGCACCCCACTTCCTTCTCGCACCACTCTCTCACTCACAGATGGGGAACTTTTATCTGATACTACTGAGTATCGCAGCATGGTAGGTGCTCTTCAGTATTTAATTATCACTAGATCTGATATTACATATGATGTACATCTGGTATCCCAGTTTATACATGCGTCACGTACTGCTCATTTATTAGCTGTCAAGAGAATTTACAGGTATCTACAGGGCACATCATCACATGGGTTGTGGTTGCGTACGGACCACAATATTTCTGTTATTATGGCTTATTCTGATGCAGATTGGGCTGGTTGCCCCGATAGCTCACGTTCGACTACAGGATATGTAGTATTTCTGGGTTCGATTTTAATCTCCTGGCGGTCCAAGGAGCAACCTACGATATCAAAATCCTCCACTGAAGCTGAGTATAGGGCAATTTCTTACACTGTTCAGGACACACTTTTTATTCGGTCTCTTCTGGCCGATATGGGTTTTGTCATCTCTACGCCTGTTCAGCTTCATTGTGATGACATATCTGCTTCTTACTTAGCAGTCAATCCTGTTCAGCATGATCGTAGCAAGCATATCAAAATTGATTATCATTTTGTTCATGAATGTGTGGCGCATGGAGATCTTGTGGTTAAATATATTCCTACACAACTGCAATTAGCGGATATATTTACTAAGAATTTATCTAGTCAGCGTTTTGAATTTTTACGTATCAATATGCGCGTTGTTCCCCTGCACAGATTGAGGGGGTGTAATAATGCAATGTTTAGGGAATACTTTGTAATTTCCATAACTCTGTTTTATTATAAATATGATGCTAAGGCACCCAATAGGGTAAGCCATTATTTCCCAAAATTCATTATTTTGTATACAATATGCAATACAAATAATGTAAAGATGCACAATTTGTGACAATTTGTAGGTTAGCATGAGAGGACTAATTTGTATGTAACCTCACCCCTATATAATATAAATAGGTATATATATATATATATATATATATATATATATATATATATATTTATGTATGACTACACATATACACCCATTATATTTATTTATTGATGTTCATTTATATATATATTTCAAAATTCAATTGATAGTAAAATAAGGAGTCAAACTATTAGTGAAGGAGAGAACAACTAAAAAATAAGGATGGTTAAGTTCAAATATTAGATTTCATTTATTTATTTGTATGTATAAATGTGATATTAATAATTGGAAAATATAAATTATATTTTTAGCTCAAATTTGAGTTTGGGTTCCAACATCCAATTCGAGCTCTAACTTATAAAAATTAATTAGCAAAACTCGACCTGAGCTCGAGTTGAACTCGATTCGAGTTTGAGCCCGAATTTTTTATCTCATCCGATTCAAGCTCGAGCTCGAACTCGTGGATTCTAATAAAGCCTAAGCTTAAGCATACCCATGTTCGAGCTCGACTTGGCTCGTTTGCACTCTTATACGCAATTAAAAATATAACTTCTACACTTTGTAATGATAAAAACTTGATTATTTTTAATTAAAGATGTCACTAATAACCAACGTACTATTGTCAAATGTTTAAGGATATTTTTAATTGGACTGAAATTTCAGGTTTGATATGGTATGAACCATTGAAGTCTAGTATGCTTTGAACTGGTCTGGTCGATGTTTGGTTTATGTGTATTTTACAACTGTCGAAGTACAGTTTGGTATGACCTATTTAAGTGTGATCTAGTCTGTTTTGTTTTGGTGTGATTTAATCTTTGTTTAAGTCTGATTTAATCTGTTCTAGTGTGGTCTGATGTGATTGAGAATAAAATCCGTGTAAGTAAAAGCATCCCAAGTGTGTTTCAATTTATTCTCCCTCCGGTATTCATATTTTCACGTTTTAAAATTTCGAAGTATAGTAATATCCCAATATTTTTTAAAATTTGTGCTCTTGTGCACATATACTGTATTTCAAGAAACATTGGCAGCAGGGACGGATCCAGGATTTTGAGGTAAGGGGGCGATATTTGTTTCATTGATCTAGCGGCCCAATTTTTTTTGCTAGTGTAACAGGGCGAATTGTTTTCGATAGCGCAAGGCTCTGCGGCTATTTTTTATTCAAAAACTTTCCATTAAGACATACATGGCAACATTTAAATCTATTACATTCTAAGTTTAGACAATGAAAAAGTAACCTTGATTTTATAATTGAAGTGCTCTAGAAAAAAGTACTGATACATTAAAGCGTAAGAAATGACAAATCAAAGTAAAATTATTCGAAAATAAAAAATGATATATATCATTTTATCAAATTATTTGAAAATAAAGAGTCCAAAAGATACATATCCACCAATACTTTTTTAAATAACTTCTGCCTTGTTAACCACGTGAATCTTATCGGTATAAGCAATTGATTTTTGAATTACAACTTTTATCTATCAAGGAGGGTGTTCGTCGGTCACGAGAAGTTTTATTAATATTACAGTAGTATGTATGAGAAAATAACTTTTAGAATAATATTATATTGCTAATTCTATAAATATAGTGCATACTATATTTGTATTAATGCTAAAATAAGTTAAAGTATATTATCATATCTATGCAATACATTGTCTTTAGAAAGTAAGCTAAAAGTAAACGAATTGTGTAATTTAATGTCGATGAACATTTATATTTTGGATTCACTTCACATGATCTAAAATTTGTTTAACTAATGTGTCTGGTGTTTAATATCGTTTGATATTTTACAAAATTGACTACCAGTTATCTAATTAATAAAGATAATTAAACATTACAACACTATGATTTTTTTAGAAGAATATTGTGGTTTTGTTAATTACGCCGTTAGCAATTTAGCGTCTTCTGATATCCTTTAATGGGGAACTTTATGTAATTAAGGAGATTGAAGAATGAGCACGGATGGGGAAAAAGTTGGTTAGAAATAGAAATTTAAAAATGATTGTATTTAATATAAAATTCGTTGTTCTCAAATAATTTCCTGTTACTCCCATTATTTTTTTCAAAAAGGTATTTAGTATATCTATTTAATAAAAACTGAAGTTAGAAAAGTAGGATATAAAAAGTGTTATACAAATATAAATAATGTTGTCATAAATCAAAAAATAAGTGAAGTTAATTGTTTTCAATTGTTTTACTGTCTTTAGTTCTATTACTCTTTTTTGGATGCAATTATATTAATATTCTCGTATTAAATGTCCTCAAATTTTTTGAAAGGAATGGTCCTCGATCATTTATAAACAAAATGTATTTAATTAGTTAATGCAATGCCTTTACAAATGAGGGAGTACGTCTACTTGAATGAATTAGTGAATGCTAGGCAATGATTGATGCATGCATTATACAAAAATATACCAATAATCAAATGGAATAAAGCTGTCTAAAAGTAGAGTCAAAAGGTTAGCTAATTAATAAGTCTAGACAAGAGGTTTTAATTTTAAACTTAGCTCATAAAATGCATGTACAGTATTAGAAAGTATATATGAAAGAGTGATAAAAGGGGATGTCTCCATCCTTTAAAAAAAACTCTCGGCGTACGTGGAAGTGTGGAACCGAAAACTCTTTGCTAGAGGCTACGGGCATTGCCCAAGTGATGAAGATTTTTTCTTTGTACAATGTGAGCGAAAGGTGTACAAATTTGTGTACAAGAAGAATGGTTGATTTCATAAATATATACGAAGTACTATATAAACCATCTTTATCATGCAGATCTTTTCATATTTATCTACATAAGTAAGATATCAATCATATACTCCGATAAAATATGTTATACAGAGTACTTTAGTCATATTTAGAGAATTTTCTCGTAATATAGACCACCCCAAGGTACATGTTGAGCTAGGTATTTTGGACAATGGATTCATCAATTTTCTATTAATTAAACAATTGCACAAAATAAGAGTAAAATGGACAAAGTTCAAATATAGCGCTGGTTATGTTCTATTCTATTTAGAGCCTGCTTGATAACTCTATTTTTCGGCTTATCTAGTTTATCAGCCAACTTTTTAACCAAACACGAAACTTTTGATTCCGCGCGCTGAATTGTGTAACAATAAGAAAAAGTAAAGTTGAAGTTACTTTTCTGGCTGTATTGACTGAAGTTACTGTAGATGACCATTTTAGTTATTTTTCATATTTTTTTAATTTTACTATTAAAATATATTTTAAATATATTTTTTCAATAAATCAGCAGAATCAGCTTCAAATATAAATGTGTAGAAATATAAGTTTAATATAAAGAATAAAAGATTAAGAGAATAACGTCTTTGGACCGGAACTCCTAAATTGGAGTCTACTAGCGCCGCTCAAACTTGAGAAAAGCCGTCGATTGAAGACTTCCAGACGATCGGAGTTAGAGCAAAGGTTATCAGCGGAAAGGCAGGGGTCCAAGGGTTTAGTTTCACGGCGGCGGTCCTAGCAAGTCTAGGTTTTTGGCGGGCAGCGCTATAGCTTTCTTGGCGCTTCAGTGTCCCGAAGTTTTGTTAGTTTTTCTCATATGGAGCACAGGGTGGGGCGTGGGAGCATTCGGGATCAGAGGGTCTTGGCGAATCTCAATTGCAGCACAGGGGAGATGATAGGGATCTGGAGAATGTTCGCGTTTGGACTGGTTGTGCTCGTGCGGTACGTTGGGCAAGAAATGGAAGCGAATCACGGGCAGATCAGGGTGTTGAAGGAAGAAGATAAAGATTCGCCCCCTCCTGAACCGCCGTCATGCTGGAAATGGGTGATTAGGGGTTGGAACACCGCGCTGGAAGATTGGGTTCAACGGCTCAATAAGTTCATCCTGCTTAAATTCATTGTCCCCATTTTTAGTCTGTTTTCGAAGAAATTCATTGCTATCGTTTTGCTTTTGGTATTTGCTTATGGTAATAGGTTTTTTACATTGATCGAGTGTTCGGCTACATTTGATATTGTTAGTGAGGGACGGATCTATTTTTTCAACAATAGCTTCATTAAGCCCGTCTGGTGGTTAGCGATTCGTATTGCTCCTTTAGGGGTGAACATCTCTATGTCTAATCGCAGGGTTAAAAGTAGTAGTTGGAAAGTGAAGGTTGTTGTCACTTATGATCATTTTGAGATTGTTTTAGCGATCCTGATTCTAATGATATCAATATAGTCGTTTTGCTTTCAAAAGAAACGTCTTTGGACTGAATTAACCTCTCGATTAATGTGGTTTTTGCCTTTTGGAGTAAGGTTACATGAAAGTATATACTAGTAAAAAGTTGTACCGTGGATAACTTAACTTTCTGGTCAAACATTTCAAACGTTTTTGTTTTTTACCAGTCATTGCAACTTTAATCAAATCATTCCATTCAAGGATATATAAGTCACCATTTTTGTCACTCAGTAGTAGTCTTTCCCTAGTATACTTGCAGTCCTTACAGATTTATACTAGGCCTAGCTACTATACTTTCGGTCTTTGATTAATTAATTAATTAATTAAGTGGCTAAATTAGTACGTGGTTAACATTTCGTCTTGTGTGAACGGTAATTTTTGGAAATCTAAATGTAAACCCATTCTTTTAGGGAGGGGCCGGGTTCATCAATATTTTCTCCCAAGTGTACACGTAGTACTCCCTTCATTCCGCTAAGATTGTCCTGTTTTACTTTTTTTTTATCTTTTCAATATGTCCCGTTAAGATTGTCTCATACCAAATTTGGTAAAGTTTGTGTGTTCTAAATCATTTTTACTTTATTCTTACTTTATCAATTCAATATCAACTACATAAATCACTTTTTATTGATTTGTGTATCACTCCCTCTTGTCCCATTGTTAGTGGGATGGAGAGAGTATTATACAAGAATGTTTAATTTTGAAGCAATGCGTTTTAATTTCTTAAAGGATCAGGGTAGACTCAGGACGCGTAGGGTGGACCGGTATAAATAATATTTTTTGAAGAAAAAAAATACATGAATATTTTTTAAATTTGAAGTGGGTCAGGAAGCGATTGATCAGACCTCAATTTAATGAAGTATTCTTCTACCACTTCTTCTTCTACATAGGATACAGTAGGGTCTTCAAACCGAATTCTAAGCTCTTTATGCACCAAGGTCAAGGCCGAGGCTCGACTGGCCTTATGATTGAGGTGTTGAAATTGATGTAGCATCATCCTTATAGAGTAATCTTCTGGTAAAGACTTCCTATTCGGAACTGCCGTCCGAACACCTCCTTTTGAGGTGTTTCCATCAATTTCAGCAAAAAATTCTATCGGGAAGACGGTCAAATAATTATTTGAAGATAATTACGACGAAATATACATATAAAACCTAGTTATTTTTGAAAATTTATTTGACTATCTTCTCGATTAAATTTGTTGCTAAAATTTGGTGGACATAATCTACACTTCATGAAGAACGTGCTAAAAACATTTCATCAAAAAATTGAACCGGAAACCACCTGAAAAGGCGGCGTCCAGATGAAGGATCTGCTTTGGAATTCCAGACCTGAACTTTATATATACAGACAATCTTTCATGTCGAGCCGACTTGACAGAAACTGCCCTCCGACCGAGGCTGTTTGGGCCCCTTCCCAACAGATTTTTCCGATAAAATATGTTGAACATGTTCTTCATCAAGTCTAGTTTATGGTGACCAATTTTCAGCTAATAATTCATTCCAGAAGACAGACAAATAAGTTTTTCTAAAACACCGCGCTGTTTATATATATTTAACTGCGCAGTGTTCTTAAACAATTTATTTAACTGCCTCCCTGATTGAATTTTAAAATGAAATATGATGGACATTAACTAGATTTGATGAAAAATTTACTTAAACAAAATCATCAAAAAAATGCCACTCTAACATTCTCATCAGGCCAGCTGGACATGAATTCTTCAAGATGTTACTTTCACGTTACGTCACTCTAAGGCCGGCGCTTTTACGCTTTATGAAGTTTGAATTTCAATAATGAATTGGGAAATAAGGTAACAATGAGTATGATGGTCTCTAGTTATACACTTGACAATGATTTCTTTCATTTCACCCCACCATATAGCCAAGCTTGTTGATGGTGAGCGATTTGGAAAAAGAACCAAAGGTTAAATTTAGTGGGGACGCATAATTTTGGATGTGGAGGAAGATACATTTAATTGGATGATACGTTTAGAATTGTACACCCAAAGTTTTTCATTACGTTTTATCCTAGCCTTTCTCCACTTCTGACTTCTCTAAATCAATGGTGTTATATATATACTATTATGTTTACTTTAGTAATTTAGTAATAATAATAATTATACTATATGATTAGTTAACATTATTATTTTATGCATATAAATCAATGGTGTTATAGTATTATGTTTACTAATAATAATAATAATTATACCATATGATTAGTTAACATTATTATTTTATGCATAATTAAAAGTTATAAAATGTACTCAGTATATCAATAAATTATATAAAAAAGTATGGATGTAATATATACGAGTAATAAAAAGTTGTAATTAAGGTAAAGGCAATCAGGATTCAGAATAAGTAAAACAACCTCAATATATTCTACTTCGTGTTCTAAATCAAAACAAAAGTTAAATAAAAAATCCCTTAACATAACCCAACAAACCCATCCCAATAAAACTGTACACTAAATCCAAATGACCAAAACTATCTACACCGTATATTTTTTATACTCTATATTTAATTCCTAAATACGAAACTCTTACCCTAATTGTATAGATTCTACGTTTTCTCCGTCTTCTCTCTAGAACCTGCTGAGAGAGATCGGCTATACGATGCTCTCCGCCTCTCTTCTTGTACCTCCAATCGTCACCTCCAGGCTCCGCCTCACCTCTCTTCTTCTAACTTCAATCTCCCGGCCGGCCGCCCTCAACTGTCCAGTCGTAATCACCGATCATATATAAGTGTGTTCGCATGTGGAGCTCTTCAGGTTTCCAACTGATTCACTTCTTCTTGGTCAATGAATTGAATCCTCTGACAAAGATCTAGTCGTATCCCGACCTTGGCTACCAATATGGGTATACTCTAAACTCCATTTTGGGTATTATTTGAATTTAAAATACATATGACCTTGGTTTTTAGTAAGTAACAGTTTTGGTTGCATATGATATGTATCTGTTACATACCATGCATGCTTAAACATTTTGAAAAAACTAGAGATTTTGAAATGAATCTGACTTTTTTTGTAGACAAATTAAATCTGTTAAAAAAGGTTATCATGTAGACAGATACATACTTGTATCGCCTGAAAATAAGATATGGAGAACATATGTCACACATTCTACTGAATACTAAATTTTAAAAACCCAAATATTTTGCTTATAATAAAATTATATACGAGTACTTCTTATACAGTTAAAGGTAATTGATGCATGTTAGTTGTTTATAAATGGAATAATACTCTTAAATCATTAATTAGGTAATTGTGTTTTTAAACTCCACTTATAATTAACAAATTTCATAAATACATACAGACTCGTATGTGTATATATACATATAAACCACTACTTATTTTTAAAATTTCATTTATACTCTGAATTTACTATTTAATTTTATAATATTCAATAAAAAGTATGAATAATTATATAATTGTTTTGTTTTCCAATAATATGTATAAATTGGATTTCAATAAAGAATATATATAGTTAAGGATAGTTTCAATAACATATTTATATATTTCAAATACATATATATACAATAGAACAGTTTAATTTTAAAACTTAGTTTCATTTATTTAATGATGTAGTAAGATACAAACATACAAAGTTTTTTGTATACTACTCCATCGTGGTAGATTTGGTGAACCTAATCATATTTAAGGTCTGGCGGCCATATATATTTTATTATATACATGCACTTTTTCCTATACACATGGATACACTTATATACACTTTGTTTTTTGGAAAAGGAGAGTTTATTGATATAATTGAGAGTACAATGCGAAAAAGAAAAAATAAATAAATTATAGTACATGAAAGAGAAAGAAAATAAGTACTAAATTAAAGGAAAAGCAGACTAATCCCATGGGAAATCACTGGATTGAGACCTACCTCTTGTCTTCTCATGTTGTGACGCCTCTTGTTCTTTTGAGATTTCCTGTATATTTTTAGCCGCGTGTTCAAGTTCTCGGTCGGAAGGCAGTTTTTTGAGGTGATGAAATTAGCTTTGCCGTAGATCGCAGTATTGAATTTTGATTTCCTAATTTCTTCCGGGTATGAAATAGGAGGACGACAATTGCTCTCGGTTGCATGTCCCAAGAAATCATCAGTAAAGAGTGAGTCATCTGAATGATCAAAATCGTCAGATGCATCTGAGAAAGCCTGGATCAATGGCAACTTGTTTCCCAGCAGATAAGACATGTTTATTCTTAGTATATGCCGCTTGGATCTGATAATTAAAAATCAGTTAAGATAGGGATGTGTGATCCTCAGTTTCTAATACACGCCTGTGTCGAAGAGATATTGAGTCATCGGGCACTGACTTTGAAATGCCTACAAAATTAGAAAAAATATTAAGGAATTTGAATAGGCTTGAATCATGGGGTCGCATGGGTATATGAATGAAGCTCCCTTTGTATTTCGCCAGTTTTACGTAGCAGCCCGCTCTGTTAATTTCCAAAGAGATCGTGAGATCTCCAAATCTCTTTATTTTCTCGAAATTTTCCTAAACAGAAGTTGTGAGTTGGTAAATGAACCGGATGATTTGCGGGACAAGATCAACTTTGAGGTGAATTTTATGCATAAGATATCTTTTAATTTGAAAGAGGACCAAATCTCTATTTGTCACCGCAAACTTAAAAGATGTAGTTTCAATTTTGACTGAGTCAAACCCAAATTCTCCAAAGAAGGAGTATTTTTCGGTGACATTCACTAGAGCATCAGTATCATCCTGGTCTTCATCCGTTGTGTCCTTTTCCTTACCATCACATTTTTTATTTATAGATGTACCTGGTCTCTTAAGAGAATCGGAAATTCCAGCCTATCCAGAAGATAGACTTATTGTGATCGAAGAAGAGCGATTATTTGAACCATCCATCTTCTTCGTAGGTCCCTAGAGTAGATCAGCCCATGTGAACTTGGGTGTGCCTGTCGATAGATTGTCCACGGCGCACATGTTGTCGGTTGTAGCCTTGATAGCTGCTTGTCCCGACGAAGAGATGGGTGGAGGTTCTGATGGGTTTTTCGGCCTTCGTCTTTGTCCACCGTGGTCTGATACTGATGGATTTTGTCCGGCTTTTTCGACTTGTCGCTTATTGTTGATTTTTCTTTTACTTCTAAATCTTTGACTGTCAAAAAGGTAGGGAGAGTCAATTTCGACCTCAGATTATGAGGGGTTGTCTTCGTCGATTCTTAAACTCTGGTAGCGATTAGCTAGACCTGATCCCCTTTTGTTCTATGATATGGGTGGTAGGGATGCCGGAATTCTATGGGATGGGTCGTTGGGGTGTCCACCCCCCCATATTTGACCAAACTCCAATTCTCTTCCAATTTCTTTGTTTGGACAGGGGTAGTTTGTGGGGTGGTCGGACAGGTTGACGCTGATTAGCGTAAACTTGGTCCCAAATAGAGCTATTTCGAGCTTCAGGACGGGGTGGGGGATTCCAATAAGCCTTGGTGCGATATGTAGAATTCAGGCTTCTGCGAAGTTGGTGTTGCCTAGTGCAATTTCAATTATCCGGCTTGAAAGGGTAGGAGCTGGAGTGATACTGTGGAGTTCAAATCCTACGATTTGGGTGTTGCCTGGTGTTGTTCCAGCTCAGCAGCTCAAAATATTGGTTGAAAGGGATACCTAGTCTATAAGGACGCTTTCCGTACCTTGTGGTTCTGCCGCTCACGAACCTGGTGTGGGAGCGAAGTCTTGCGTGATGGTTCGAGAGTTCTTGATGAGGATTCCCATCGTTGAAGCCTTGTCTGTTCGAATAGCAGTTTATAGGGGAATTTTGCACTGTGTTTTGTAAATTGTCATGGTAGAATATCGATTGCCGGCGTTGAGGTTGCCGAAATCCCACAAGGGGATTTAGGAGTTGACTAGATGTTTTTAGAGAGATGGAGGAGCTTCTCTCTCTCTTCATATCTTGTGACCATGGTTACAGTTATCTACACATATACATGCATGTATACATAGTCACACAAAAAGTGCAACAAAGTATCCTGACCTCAATATAGACACCATGGAAGTATATATACACATGTATACATTATCACACAAAACTATTAGTACAATTTTTAAAATGCTTGTTATGAAATGGCTTTTGCAAAAAACATATATATTGTACCAAAACACATAAATAATTTTTACCTCTCCAGTTTTGAAACAAACATCGAGTATTAAAAATGATTTTTTCTTGAAAATTGATTTGATATTATTAGTTTGGACCTTCAAGTATATTTGTTGATCTGTACAATCAAAATATTTTAGTTTTGAAACTCCAAGGAATATAAAGTCAATTACTAAAATGGTCCTAATTTGGACCTTTTGTTCTGGCCATCGAGTCTATGTGTTTGAGAAACATTTCCTGCAATCCTGCCAAAGATATACCGATAGTATTTATTTATCAAGTGTTAGAAAGCATACAAAAGAGTATGCTTTATAAGAATTAATTATAGAGATTGTGTCTCACCAATGTGTTATTTGGCAATATTTTCTAATTGTATCATCTGTTGGGCGTGTCTCGGAAAAACGAAGAAGAATTAATTAATAAAAGTAATTAATTAATTTACATAGCTAAAGAAAACCAGAAATAAGATGGAACAGAGTTTAGCCAGAGCTCATGCTACGCACGATATCCTTAAAATGTATTCGTCGCCTCCCACGGTGCTAGAGCGATGCAACGACCGTTTCCCAGGATACGGTGGCTAACGAACTAACGTTTGAGCACACAAACGAGAGTTCCGGTGAACGGGAACAAGGACTGAACACTCAGGAAATTTTCAGAGAGCTGAAGGTGTTTTTGAGAGCTAAAATACGTGTATGATTGCTTGTGAACGTGTAAGAACGTGTGTTTGTTGCAAACCACCTGCCAGCTATTTATAGGAGGATTTGTTGTGTGTTAAATGTAGTGTTAATGGACCTGAACGTTGGACATCAATGACCAGTCCGTTGGGCATTGAATCGTCCATAACCTGTCCATTTAACGCAGCATTAAAAGAGCAGAACGTTGGGCATTTATTGCTGTAACGCCTGTGGTATTCTGTTCCGGAAGGCAACAGAATACCTAGCTCTAAGGTCTTCTGTTCGGAAGGCACCAGAAGAGCCCTGAGGTCTTCTGTCCGGAGGCCAACAGAACTCCCTCACGAGGTGTTCTGGTATGAAGCCTTCTGTCCGGAGCAGTTCTGCCGGTCTGGAAAAAATTAAGGAACGTTACGGGAAGAAACAAAAGTTAAATCATATCTTTGAATGATACATTTGTCGGACACCATTCATGTCCGCAAGTCGCCCACGAGTCACAGTTTTTCTTCTCCGTTTCGGGATTTGATCGGCACCCCCCTGCGCGTAAGAGAGAGACTTTACCTTTAGGAATCTTCACTCCTTAAACGAGGCTTCCCTTTATAAAGAGGTGAAAATCTCTTGAGTTTTCCGGTGTGGTATAAAACACACTAGAAACCCATCATTTTCCCAGTTTTTCCATTTCAACGAGTGAACTTCGAGAATCAATTTCTCATTCACCCGTTATCCGTTATGAGTGTACCACATATCGAATTGTAGCCCTTAACAAGGACAATCCGAAACCACTTTGACCCGACCCAAATCGCAAGTGGACCCCACTCAAATAATTGCCCCAAAATGACCATTTAATGCAATTTTTAACACATTTTCCCAACATCATCAATATGCCCTTCCTGCCATTTTTGGTGATGATTACACATAGGTGTAAACACTACTAAGAACACATAAATGATATATGTATAATTGTTCAAAAAAGTTTAAGCCATGATATACCTTTTCAATATAGAAAACTAATGCTAGTGTCTCACATCCTAAAATGCATACAAACTTTGTTGTGGTGTTGAACTGCTAACAATTGAGACAATTTATTGTTGCATAAGTCACGGTCTCAAACCGTATGAGTGGTTTTTAACCAATGGTTTATTCAAACTCCGTAATCTTTAGTCTAAGATTTTTCGTACAAATTATTTAATGATGTGTAGTACAAATTGTACAATGCATTTAATATTTATTCGTTATCTTACTTCACTTAAGAGAGTTGCTCATTCGAATTCAGTAGTAAGGACTATGATGTTGTTCATTGTACAATACATTAAATGCTATTAAAAAATAAATTAACCACATGCATACTTTTTTAAAATTTGAATTACATTCTTACAGGCAAAAGATTTTTATGCAAGCATTGAGCCACGGGATATTGAACCACCAAGTTTGAAAAGTCAAAAGTTGAGCTTCTATTGGACTGCATTAAATTCATTTTCTGGAGCCACGCGTCCGCATTAAAAGTTATAACCACTCATGCGCCTGAAGATCAACAGCTGCCAGCCGCAGTTGTAGAATCCGACCCGACTCGATTTCTAAATAGCACTTTGGGCGGGAAAACTGAGCTGTTTTTCTCCTTCTTTTGTATAATTGAAGATATTTAACACAACTAGATGAGAATAAAATTTTGGAGCCTTTTAGTAAATAATAACTATAAACTTAAAAATGTTGTAGCTGTTTGATAAATCTGGTTGTTTAATTTAGTTTTGTTTGTACAACAGCTTGCTGTGATTGATAAATGTTGTAGCTGTTTGATAAATCTGGTTGTTCAGTTCATGTTTGGTAGGCATTGGTCTATATCTTCTAACTTTTATACATAGTACTGTTTAAAAGGTCTTTGAAACTTGTTACTTGTATGTTTCCTACAAATAAATTTAGGATTTTCTTTTCAAATAAAAGATCTTTTTCGAAGTATGGTACCAACAAATTAAAAAGCTCAAAAAATATCTTTTTAGCTAGTTGTGCCAAACATACCAACAAATTAACTTCATAAAATTTGTTGTAGCAAACGTACAACTAAAAACTTCTAGTGTCTTTTTAAATAGAAGGTAAATGTTGGAAAAATGTGTTAAAAATTGCATTAAATGGTCATTTTATGGCAATTATTTGAGTGGGGTCCACTTCCGATTTGGGTCGGGTCAAAGTGGTTTCGGATTGTCCTTGTAAAGGGCTACAATTCAATGTATGGTACGCTCAAAACGGATAACGGGTGAATGAGAAATTGATTCTCGAAGTTCACTCGTTGAAATGGAAAAACTGGGAAAAGGATGAGTTTCTAGTGTGTTTTATCCCACACCGAAAAACTCAAGGGATTTTCACCCCCTTATAAAGGGAAACCTCTTTTAAGGAGTTAAGATTTCTAAAGGGAAAGGCTCTCTCTTACGCGCAGGGGGGGGGGGGGTGCCGATCAAATCCCGAAACGGAGAATAAAAACCGCGACTCATGTGCGCGGGCGACCTGCGGACACGAATGCCGTCCAACAACGTACTTGTTGGTTGTCACTTTGGTGAACGAACTTAATTTTTGTGTTGAGCTACGTGTTGAACGGGCTGCATGATGCTTTGTACGACGTGTATAGCAAATTAGCTACGCGTTGATCTCCCTCCGGGATGTAAACCTTTGGGATCCAAGTGGATTTTTAAACGTAAAATGAAACCAGACGGTTCCATTGATAAGTATAAGGCTAGACTTGTAATCAAGGGATACAAGCAACGCGAGGGCCATGATTACTTTGACACGTATTCTCCCGTGACGAGAATAAATTCCATTAGGATGATACTAGCGATTGCCGCTTTGCGGAAATTGGAAGTTCATCAAATGGACGTAAAAACCGCTTTTCTAAATGGCGATATAGACGAAGAAATCTATATGGAACAGCCCGAGGGCTTTCGTGTTCCAGGCCAAGAAAGGAAAGTGTGTAAATTAATTAAATCATTGTATGGATTGAAACAAGCCCCTAAACAGTGGCACGAAAAGTTCGATCATGCAATGTTAATTAATGGGTTTAAGATAAACGAAAGTGACAAATGCGTCTATGTGAAAAGCACGGTAGACGGCTATGTCATTTTATGTTTATACGTGGATGATATACTCATCGTGGGTAGCAATAATCTAATGATTAATTCTACCAAAAGCATGTTAAATTCTAAATTTGACATGAAGGATATGGGGCTGGCCGATTTAATCCTTGGGATTAAAATAATTAGAGGACCTGACGGTCTAACGCTAAGCCAATCCCATTACGTTGATAAAATCCTTACTAAATTTAATACGGATGATTATCAAGAGGCAAGGACGCCATTAGATAAAAACACTCATCTTACCAAAAATCGTGGAGAGTGTATTTCTCAAGTAGAATACGCTAGGATTATTGGAAGTTTGATGTATCTAATGAGTTGTACCAGGCCTGCTATTGCCTTTGTGGTTAGTAAGCTAAGTAGATATACTAGCAACCCCGGTGCTGAACACTGGAAGGCAATAGTAAGGGTTTTGAGGTATTTACGTAAAACCCAAAACCTTGGACTGCACTATGGAAGATATCCAGCTGTACTTGAAGGGTATAGCGACGCTAGTTGGATATCCGACATAAAGGACTCTAAGTCCACAAGTGGATATGTTTTCAATTTGGGAGGTGCAGCCGTGTCGTGGAAATCCTCGAAACAAACGTTAATAGCTAGATCCACGATGGAATCTGAGCTAATAGCCTTGGATAAGTGCACTGAAGAGGCTGAATGGCTACGCCATTTTCTCGAGGATATTCCAAGTTGGGAGAAGTCTGTCCCTCCAATATGCATACATTGCGATTGTCAAGCGGCAATTGGAAGGGCACAGAGCAATCTCTACAATGGTAAGTCTAGACACGTTCGTCGTAGACATAACACCATTAAACAACTCTTCACAACGGGTGTTATCACTGTTGACTACGTGAAGTCAAAGGATAACATAGCGGATCCGCTAACCAAGACATTGGATAGAGAATTGTTGGAGAAGTTGTCACGAGGAATGGGACTAAAGCCCGTGAATTGAAAAGTTCTATAGTGGATACCCAACCTAGTTGGTCCTAGGTTCAAAAGGGACAACTAAATTATAGAGCGAAGGATGGTCACTGTGGGGGTCCAGGACTCCTACCCACTCCTCGTTAAAACAGTGACTCCCGCACGAGGTTAGCAAAAAACGTTTGCTTTAATGATTCTAAAATGTTGATCTACTCGATA